CACAATTACCTTGCCTTGAGGCATTTTGAAGTCGTAGACACTATAACAAGGATTATTAAATTGTCAGCGTTCAGCAACGGTGGGTTTGAAAAGAGTTGAAAAATCATGATTGTATCTCGATTGAGTGAACTGAATGGTCTTTTCTGTAAAAAATGGCTACTTGAAGGGGTTACTGGAAAGTTGCCAGGACCCATGGGACTGTATTGGAGCATGAGTTAGCACTTCAGGAGAGGAGAAAATTGGGAGGGTGGAAATTGTTCGCACTTTCTCTTTGTAATACAATCCTCAGGAGCTAAGCATTTTGTGGGCATAAGAGTGAAAGTATCTTATGCAATATAGAAAGGTCAAGCTCTTATATCAGAGTGTGGTGGTTGCTGAGAGCTAATAACTAATGTACATGGTTATTTGAGATTTATATCCATGCTTTAAATGTGAGCTGTTTGTCTAGCTGAGGTATGAGTCGACCTTTAAACCCAGGAATGAAGGCAGGACCCACTGTCCAATCGATGCAGTTTAAAAGTAGGGGGGTTTATTTTGAGAGTGTGAAGCATGACCGGATCAAATTTGAGTCCAGTTAATAGCCGTTGGGTCCAGAAAATCAAATTGTCAGCCTCACAGAGCTTCAGTACAATATGAGTTAAATGCCAGCTGTAGATTGTTTTCCTATTTGTATTCCATTGCAGAATATAACAAAATGTTCTGGTCTGGATTTGTAAGAGTCACAGAGATTGTGAAGGTGAATGAGTGTGGAGCAAAACTGGGAACGATGCAGAACTGCAGCTTACTGGACAGTTACATCAGCTTTTCATTAAATCTCATTACAGCTGTCAGCCTGGCTCCGTAGCATTCCCGTCTTCTAGACTCGTCAGAAGTGAGTTCCGGTTATTGGTTAAAGCCCCACATTGGGGATTTGAGTTCACAGTCGAGGCTGACGCTGCTGGTGTGTTGCACTGTCAGAGGTGCTATCCTTTGGATGATGCGTTAAATCAAGGCTCTGCCGGTTCAGGTGGATGTTAAAGATTCCATGACATTTCAAAAGAGAAAGAGGTCCTGGCCAACAATCCCCCAGATAAAACTGCTCACTTCATGGCTTTTTGTGGGACACTGCTGTGCGCAAATTGACTGCTGCATTCACCTACAAATACAGTCACTACACTTCATAGTAATTCCTGTAAAACTCTGAGACAACTTGATGATGTGATAATGCGCAATATTAAACGCAAGGATTATTATTGTTATTAACTGAGGTAGGCGTGTGCATCTTTGCTATAGGATGCTGCTCTTCCAGCGCTTTGATCTAAATCTGATTTGTGTCTTGTGATGTGCAACAATATGATCCTGTGCATACCCAAGTGAAGATAAGCAAGGTGCTTTCTTGAATGTTATTGAATAAAAAGGGGGTGATTTGTTGCTTGAGGGGAAGAACTAGGAAGAGGAAGTGGCTTATGAGTTTCAGGCTTGCTACTGTACACTTCAAATTGGTTCATTTGCTTAGAGTATTTCTTTCAGTACAGTGAGATACTGTATGTAAGCTTGAATGTTCATGCCCTCTATTGATCAGATTTGGATAGAGCACCTTGGAAGTTGCAGTTGGATCTGGATGTGTTGCTCTCTTCTAATTATTGTGGAAGGTTGGAGTCCATGTCCGCAGACATGGAGTTAACTTCCACATGTATGCGGATGATACCCAACTCTACCTTTCCTCCTCTACTCTCAACTCCACGACCACCGATGTCCTGACAGCCTGCCTGTCCGACATCGAGTCCTGGACGAGAGACAACTTTCTTCAGCTCAACGTGCGAAAAACCGAGGCCCTCCTGATTGGCTCACGTCAGCGCCTCCGCACCTCAGGCGCTGACAGCTTCAGCATCCAAGGCTGCACTCTCCACCTCTCAAAGCCAGTCAGGAACCTCGGCGTTTTGTTCGACCCTGAGCTGTCCTTTCTCCCTCACATCCGCACCACAACTGGCACCGCCTTCCATCACCTTCGGAACATCGCCAGACTACGGCACTACCTCACCCCTCACGCTGCTGAAACTCTGGTCCACGCCTTTGTCACCTCAAGGCTGGACTATGGGAACTCTCTCCTCGCCGGCCTTCCCGCCACCTCCCTCCACAAGCTGCAGGTCATTCAGAACTCTGCAGCTCGTGTACTGTCCCGCACCAGGCTTCGGGACCACATCACTCCCACCCTCGCTCGCCTCCACTGGCTCCCCATCCCCCAGAGGATCGATTTCAAGATCCTCACCCTCACCTACAAGGCCATTCACGGCCTTGCTCCCTCCTACCTCTCCAACCTACTATCCCCCTACCTACCTGCCCGTACCCTCCGTTCCTCCGGCTCCGGTCTGCTCCACGTCCCCCGCCCCAACCGCCCTACCATCGGTGGCCGGGCCTTCAGCCTCTCAGCCCCCAGGCTCTGGAACTCCATCCCCCAGTGCCTTCGCCGCTTCCTCCCTTTCCTCCTTCAAGGCCGGTCTCAAAACCTTTCTCTTTGACCGTGCCTTCAGCTCCCCTCTCGACTCTCTTCCCCCTCCTCGCTCCCTCCCTCCCCTCACCCTGACCATTTCCCCTCTCCTCGCTCCCTCCCTTCCCTCCCCTCACCCTGACCATTTCCCCCCTCCTCGCTCCCTCCCTTCCCTCCCCTCACCCTGACCATTTCCCTCCTGCTCGGGTCATGACAGCGCTGTGCAGCGCCTTGGGACGTCCTCCTGACGTGAAAGGCGCTTTATAAATTGAATCTTGTTGTTGTTGTTGTTGTTGAAGATTCGTTCATTGCTGATATTTTAAGCCTTTCCTGCTCTTTCCACAATATTTCTCAGGTTTCAACACTTTTTATCCTCCTCAGGAGTACGTTATTCTGCATTTAGTTTTGACTCTCGTACAGAAGCTCAAGCACTAAAGTTGGTTATTTTGACAGCAAATAGGTGATTGGTTGAACTGCTGTATTGTGCTGATCATTGTAAAGCAGCTTAGAGGCATATTGAACCAGTGTTAAGAGCCAGACTTTATACATTTACAAGCATTGGGATTAATCCAGCAAAATAAAGTAACTGGTTCCATTTCAGTTTGCCGTGTGTTTGTTAGTGTTTCAACACATGACTTAAAGCACTACTAAATGAGATTCTAACCATTGCATTTAGAAGTGAACAAAGTATTGTACACATTGGTGAAGAAATGTAAACTGACATATTATCCTTTTAATGAACCATCAGCTGCTCAAGTTAATCACGGTGAGCAGCACAGGAACAGGGTTACACAAGGACAAAGGAATGTGCTGGACCAGAAAAGACACATGTGGTCCATCTCGCCAATCCAGAGTAAAGGCAATATTAAGTGAGGGGGCGTGAGGGGTAATTTTACAAAAAGAATCATAACCCTCGATTGATTGATTTTTGGCAAATGTCTATCCACTTCTCCGCTAAATTTGCTGAAACAACACAAGTATTTTTTTATTAAGTATGTTTGTAAAATGTTTATTTTTGTGGCTGTGAATTATCAGCCTCAGGAATCCACAAAACGTGCAAGAACCAATGTAACATAATGTAATAAAAATGGTTGAATCGTTTTTGATTCAGGCTGAATTAAGTGTATATGCGAATAGTGTGAAAAGCGTGGTGTGAATACATGGTGAAAGCTTTGGTGGTTGCGTTTTACGGTCACACGACGTCTTGCTTGTATGCCAAACATGAGGTGTTAATCCTCTGTAAGAGGTCATCTATATCACGAGGGTCATGGATCCTGTGATAATGTATCCTCATGTGGATTTTCCATTTCGCAGGAAGACTCTCTCCAGTACATGCCTAACAGCAGTCAAGCAAAGCTAATTTCTATACAGGCGAGCCTACCTCAGGAAGTAATTTGTAAAATGCGCAAGTTTTCCAAACCCGAACTCTCCTACGGCCTCTGCATATAGATCTGATTTTGTGGTAAAATCTCAGTGAATTGGAATGAGTGGTACCAGAAACTGGTCATCATCACTTTAATATCATGATGAAGTCAAGATGATTGCACATGCACAAATTGCCGTTAGAAATATTTTGTGATCTCCATTTGCCAAATAATGGCAGTCAAACAGCAAGCACAAAGCCAGCAGCAATGTTCCTGAAATTGCACCTTACAGATCCAAATCCACGTCCTTTTGTTACGCTGTCATAGTGCATCTGAAAGTGCTGTTCTGTGTTTACGTTTCCAAATGTATATACTGTACAAGTCCCCCACTGAAATGTCTCCTTTCAAGACTGAAGATCCCCACTTTATTTAATCATTGCTCATAGCTCATTCCACTTGACATTGCTCTTGTCTGCCCTTGCATTTGTCTAATTTTGACTAATAACTTTATGAAAAGTATCTTGTAATCCACACACATCCCTTGCATTTGATACAACTCATCACATCAAAACATCTCAAAGGACACAGTTCTTACTATTAAGTGTAGTGACTGGGTAAGCAATGTCACATAAATAGCCAAGAGGTGAACTGAGGATTGTTGGCAAGGGTACTCTGAGAAGCTCCTTTCTTATTTTGAATATTCTAATTCATTCTTTGATGTCCACCTGAACAGGCAAACAAGATTTTATTTAACATTTCATTGAAGGACAACACCTCAAACAATATAATGAACCCCAGCACTACATTGGAAGGATGTCAGCTTAGACCTTAAATTAAAAAAAGCATATTGAGATGTTAAAGAGCAAGTGTATTGTTTTGAGAGAGTGACCTGCTGTGTGAAAAGATATATTTATCTTCTGATTGTAATCCTTCTCCTAAATCGTCTTTGTACAGCAGTACAGGACTTAAACTATTGTTGAAAAATGATGTGTGATAGTGATTAATCCTTTAGATTTGTTGCTGTATTGTGTAATGAAATGCCAATGTTCCGAAGAACATCTTGCATCAAGTATATTACCTGAATTGGTTCTACAGACTGTAGATTATGTACACAGAATGTACATTATTGTCAATCTATAAAATCACATTCTGTTTCTCTTAAATTCCAGCTGGAAAGTGACTGATGATAAACCAGAGGGAATGCCAAGGCTCAACCAATACATGACAGAATCATGGATGAGTTGTACTGCATTCTTTGAAGAAATGTTTCACTTCAAGAAGCAAAACCCTGGGAAGGTGAGAGCATTCACTTTGCTGAAACTAACAACTTATGGATTTTCCAAAATACAAAATGAGAGAAATATAGAATGCTGATTCAGGGGTACTTAAGATGGGACTAAGCACAGAAATAAAATGTGTGATAAAGAAATTAACTACCTGCTCCCATCTACATAATGTACTATGCCTCCTAACATAGTGTTATCTGCATACTTTGGTTATATTCTCTTGTTGACCATTGTTGCTTTTCTACACAAGTGAAGCTTTTGCTTTTTAGCAGTATGTTTTCCATCATACCAGTTTCTTCTGTGAATAATTCCATTAAAGCAGTTTAGGCCAATTTACTGTGCTCAATTTTCTCTCATCTCTTTGAAGTTTGTCTTACTTAAATTTGAAACCCTGGTTTGTGACTCCCTTCTCCCTCTCAAGCCTAATATCAAATTCAATCATATTACGGTCACTATTCCCTTACCATCAGATTGTTAACTAATCCTGGTTTATGACTTATCACCAGGGCCAATAGGAAATTGCAGAAATATTTGCCAAACATTGAGGGGGGTGGATTTGCCAAATTATACAGGAAATTGCGGGTGTTTGGTTGGTGCAGTTCAAAGGTACATTTTACGGCCAGCCTACATTTTTACTTTATTGATAAAAATGAAACAAGAAATAACGCATATTAGATTGTTGCATAAAAAATGATTAATGCTTTCTTTAATAAAAACTCGGACGGGTTGGTAAGAGCGGAATGGTCAGTTTCCACCCGGCACTACGTTTAAAGGCCTGGAGATCCACCAAACAACCAACATTGCTCGCCAGTGTCCTGCCTGTCACCACTTCCTGCCTCTCAAGGCCACCATCGCACACAGACACAGACTCGCACACTCACAGAGACGCACGCACGCACAGACAGAGAGACACACCCACACTCATAGACACAGAGACGCACACATTCACAGACATAGAGACGTACACACTCACAGACACAGGCACACACACTCACAGACAGAGATACACACCCACACTCATAGACACAGAGACACACACACTCACAGAGACACACACACTCACAGAGACACACACACTCACAGAAAGAGACAGGCACACTCACAGAGAGACATACACTCACAGAGAGACATGCACTCACAGACACACACAGAAAGACATTCACTCAAAGATACACACAATCACCGAAAGAGAGAGACACACACACACAAATTGTGACCTCACTTTTCCATTGGCCCAGTTTATCACTAAATCTCCTATGGCATGTTTCCTTGTCAGATCTAAAACATACTATTCTAGAAAAATGTCCCAAATACCTTCTAGAAATTCATTGCCTTTACTACTTAACCTATTCTGCTTCCCAGTCTGAAAATTAAAATCTTTCATTATAACCATATTGCTTTTGCTAAATGCTTCCCTGATCTCCATATTTATACGTTCCCCCGCTATATCACGACTCTCTGGGCATGTTTCCACTACCTGTCACTCCTACTGAAATCCCTTCTGTCTACTGGGGGTCTTTTTGTCACATCTTTTGACTTATAATGTGTACTTTCTCCTGCCACGGGATCTCATCCGAACGATGACACCTTCCAGCAATGCAGTGCTCCCACAGTAATACATTGGTGTGTTACGTACAAATGTTACTTGGTGAACTATTTTACATACGTTGGTTAAAAGGCATTGGAATGAGATTTTTTTTCTTGATTTGATGTGTGAGTAGAACAGTAGGGCAGTCACCTAGCATTCAGAACTGCAAATGGGAAAGTTTCAAAAAAGCAATTTTTTTTCTTTGATTTGATTTATTTTTGCGTACTTGCCATCTTGAAAATTAACCATATTTAAATTTTGCATCCAGTGTACTAATTATTTTTAGCAAGGTGTGCACAATGCAGTTTTTACTCTCAGCTGATTATTCTTAGCACAAACAGTACTTGAGGCCATCTCTATAAATTATGTGTGCTGATGTGCCTGCAATTGCAAAGACGCACATTCTTGCAACCACTTGGAATTTCAACATATAATTGTCAAATAGCTGCTAAATTTGAAGATTGTTTTGTCTGGTGGCCCCATATGAAAACTAAGCTGATAATGAACCCTATTTTCTCAATTTGTCTCAGATACAGACTCCAGGTAATGGATAAATACTGGAACAGATAATGTTTAATCATTACTTATTGATTGCACATACTTGCAGCTGGAACGCTATATAGAAATGTGACTTTTTTTTCCTCCTCTCCAGTTTTGTCTCCTTGTTTGTAGTCTCTGTACATTTTGTGCCGTTGTTGGGCGCTACATTCCTGGAGCTGTAGTGTCGTACTGCTTATGTAAGTACCTCAACTTTAGTTTAAGTGCAGTACTTTAGATTCCGCAGTCTACCTGTTTATATAGTGTACTCTATGGCTTTTTAAAACTTATCACTTGAAGAAAGATAAGGAGTTGAAGGGGTGCAGAGGAATTTATGAGAAAATTCTGGGGATGAAGGGCTACAGTTATGAGGTGAGATTGGAGAAGCTGGGTCTGTTTTCAATGGAGCAGAGAAGGTTGTGGGGTCTCAATGGAAGTGAACAAAAATATGAGGGTTTCTGTTAGGGTAAATAGGGAGAATTTATTGCATAATAGCGGAGTCAGTAATGGCCCCGAGAGGCAGGAGATGATGACAATATTTTTTTCACCCAGTGTGGTTGGGAACACCTTGCAGAGTGGGGTGGTGAAAGCAAGGTCCCTTGTAGCTTTCAAGAAAGAAGTAGACAGGCATATGAAAGAGAGGGGCTTGAAGAAGTATGGGTATAAGGTGGGGCATTGGAACTGAAGTGACCTCCCTGCTCTGAGAGCCGGTTTAGTCTTGACTGGCCGAACGGTCTTCTTCTGCAGTGCAGATTTATATTTCGAAATTGCTTCTTTGTAAGATAAGAATAGACATCGTAGTTTGATTTTAAAGAGAGATCGACTAAGGGACCTATTTTACTTATCAAAAAAAAAGTTGGTAATGTGGTACAAACAGATATTTGTGCCCAAATTGAGAAATTTTGTGTTGAAATAATATAAGTTTTGCTGGATGTGAACAGTGCCTGATTAATGAACATGTTTTAAAGTTTAAGCTTGTTTAGTCAAATAGGATTTTAATTTTTTGATTGCTTTCACAGTATTGTGTGCCCTACTGTGGCCTTTGGTAACTTCATATGACCTGGGACACAGAGTGTACAGCAGGATTGAACCACTTCTACAAAGGCTAGATTTTGGCTTGAAAGATTGTGTCCTTCGTATTCAGAAAAGAAGGTCAAGTAAGAACAACTCTTGAGTTCAAGTTTCACATTAAGAACACTTGCTAATCCATTATAAAATGAAATAATCTCGGCATTGACAGGAGGTTACTGTTATGGAGCACAATTAAGCAGTTTGTGATATTTATTTATATCGGGACACTGCTGTGCGCAATTAGCTGCTGCATTTTGCCCACAAAATATACAGTCAGTTCACTTCACAGTATATTCTGTAAAAGCGCTTTGAGACGTTTCAAAGACATGATAATGTGCTATATCAATTGCAAGGGTTATTATTATAGAGGATTGAAAAAGCGCTCATTGGGAATACAGCAGCAATAGTTTCTTTAAACTTAAAACACATTTCCTCCAGGTAAATTCGGATACATCAGGCCGACTCAAGAAAACTCCATCCAGAGATCAACTCAGAGACGAGTTTTTGCTAATCTACGTGACATGCATTGTGTTTCTTAGAGGAAACAGATTTTACGTCCTGAGGCATCATTTTATACTGCCATTTACCTGAGAAGCCCTTGTATAATCAATATTATCCTTGCATTATTGCACTTACTTAGTGTTGGAAGGTCTCAAAGCATTTCAGAGGGAATTGCTGTCAAGTATTTGGAGACAAATGCCACAATCGAATTGTACACAGCAGAAAAAAACATGAAATGAACGACCAATTCATCCAGAGGATTTGGCCAGGATACTTAAGAGAAACTCCCTCAGTTTTTGAATACCATTATGGAATAGTTAACGTCCACATAAACAGGAAGACAGGACTTCCGTTTATCATCTCATTCAATGTACAGCACCTCTGACAATTTAGTGCTTTACTAGAATATCAACCTATGCTGTCATCATTCCCCTCCTCAAAAAAAACTTTATCCCTCTGACCTGATAAACTACCAGTCCATTTCTAACCTGCCTTTCCTTGCCAAAGTTCTGCAAAGCTTGTTACCAATCAACTTCGCTCACACCTCTCCTATCACTCCTTACTTGAGCCTCTCCAGTCTGGTTTCTGCCATGCCCACAGTATAGACTTATAGTGCAGTAAAACTCGCATAAGTCTTAGAATACATTAGAATATACAGTCCAGAAACAGGCCATTCGGCCCAACTGGTCTATGGCAGTGTTTATTCTCCACATGAGCCTCCTCCTGCCCTTCCTCAACTAAGCCTTCAAGCATAACAACAACAACAAGATTACATTTGTATAGCGCCTTTCAAACTTATATTCCCTTCTCCCTCATGTACCTGTCTAATTTTCCCTTAAATACATCTATGCTATTTGCCTCAACAACTCCTTGCGTTAGCATGTTCCACATTCCCACTACTCTCTGTGAAGAAATTTCTTCTAACTTCCCTATTTGATCTATTTGTGACTATTTTATATTGATGGCCTTTATCTTTATAAATGGTATATTCGTATAAATCGTACATTCCGCCGAGTCCCATTCAGTTTCCTATCAAAACTACTTAGATTTCTTTGCACTCCCATGATTCAATACAATTTCAACACTTGCTGGTAGATGCACATGCAGCAACGGTCAAGATGCGTCGAATCACGAGAAATGTAGTCTTGATCCGTCACCGCATACACACCTACCAGCTGCAGTGACAAACTACTGCATGCACACTTACCAACTGCATTACACATGCAGAGTGTAGACTATTGAATAAATCGGATTTTAAACAATTTATACAGTTTGCCTGCAACTCAGATTGAAATGTCATGGACCCGACTGTTATGAGTTATGTGAGTTTTACTGTACAACTGCACTGAGAGAGTTTTTCTTCTAGTCCTCTTCCTAACCCAGGCTCTTGATCAAGTCAAGGTTTCAATTCAGTGCTGTTGTAGGCCATTCATTGTCCTAATCTGTGCAAGTTGCTGCTTGGAATGGTTAGAGGAAAGTGAGGAGAGATAATAATAATAATAATCCTTAAATTTGATAGAGCGCCTTATCATGTCTTTGTGACGTCTCAAAGCATTTCACAGAGTATAAGAACATAAGAATTAGGAGCGGGAGTAGGCCATTCGGCCCTTTGTGCCTGCTCCGCGATTCAATAAGATCATGGCTGATCTTCAGACCCAACTCTAATTACCTGTCCTATCCCCATATCCCCTAATCCCTCTATTTTTTAAAAATCTATCAGTCTCAGCCTTGAAGATGTTCAAGGACTGAGCATCTACAGCCTTCTGGGGTAGTGAATTCCATAAATTCACTACCCTCTGAGTGAAGAAATGTTTCCTCAACTCTGTTCTAAGAGGCTGACCCTTAATTTTAAGACTGTGACCCCTGGTTATAGATTCTCCTACCAGGGGAAACAGACCCTCAGTGTCTACTTTATCCAGCCCTTTAAGAATCTTATAAGTTTCAATAAGATCTCCCCTAATTCTTCTGTACTCTAGAGAATACAGCCCTAGTTTATTCAGCCTATCCTCATAGGTCAGTCCCCTCATCCCAGGAACTAACCGAGTGAATCTACGCTGCACCCCCTCTAGGGCAAGTATGTCCTTTTTTAAATAAGGAGACCAAAACTGCACACAATACTCTTGGTGCGGTCTCACCAAAGCCCTATACAGTTGCAGCAAGACTTCCCTACTCTTATATTCTAAACCTTTCGAAATGAACGCTAACATGCCGTTCGCCTTCTTAGTTGCTTGCTGCACCTGCAAACTAACTTTTTGGGACTGGTGTACAAGGACACCCAAATCCCTTTGAATACTAACACTATCTAACTTCTCCCCTTCCAGAAAATAATCTGTTCTTTTATTCTTGCTACCAAGGTGAATAATTTCACACTTGCTAACATTGAATTCCATCTGCCACCTACTTGCCCACTCCCCGAGCCTATCTATATCTTGTTGCAATCTTTTTGCATCATCCTGAGAGCTCACTCTGCTACCTAGTTTAGTATCATCCGCGAATTTAGACACATTACATTCAATGTCCTCGTCCAGATCATTGATGTAAATGGTAAATAGCTGAGGCCCAAGCACTGATCCTTGTGGCACTCCACTAGTTACATCCTGCCAATTCGAGAATGATCCGTTTATCACTACTCTCTGCTTTCTACCCGATAGCCACTCTTCTATCCATGTTAATATTTTCCCATTAATCCCGTGGGCCTTGATCTTGAGTAACAGCCTTTTGTGTGGCACCTTGTCAAATGCCTTCCTAAAATCCAAATATACCACATCTACTGGTTCCCCCTTATCCAACCTGCTGGATACATCCTCAAAAAATTCTAAAAGGTTAGTCAAGCATGACTTCCCTTTTGTAAAGCCATGTTGACTCTGCCTAATCTTTTGATGGTCTTCCAGGTATCCCATAACTACGTCTTTTATTAAGGACTCAAGAATTTTCCCTACAACTGACGTCAAACTAACTGGTCTATAGTTTTCCCTATTTTCTCTCCCACCCTTCTTAAATAGTGGAGTTACGTTTGCAATCTTCCAATCAATGGGAACTTTTCCAGTATCCACAGACTTTTGGAAGATTATAGACATGCCATCCACTATCTCAGTAGCCACCTCCTTTAAAACTCTCGGATGCAGGCCATCCGGTCCAGGGGATTTATCGGTTTTAAGACCCGACAATTTACCTAGAACCATCTCTTTACTAATGTTAATCTCCCTAAGTTGCTCGCTAACATTGTCTTCTTGGTCCTCTATTTTTGGTATGTTTCCAGTGTCTTCTACGGTGAAGACTGTAGAAAAATACTTGTTTAATGACTCTGCCATGTCTTTGTCCCCTATTATAATTCCTCCGGTCTCTGCCTGTAATGGACCCACATTCACCCTCGCTAGCCTTTTCCTCTTTATATATTTGTAAAAACTCTTGGAGTCTGTTTTTATGTTCTTTGCTAGTTTGCCCTCGTAATCTATTTTCTCCCTCTTGATCAATTTTTTGGTCCTCCTCTGTTGTTCCCTAAAGTTCTCCCAATCCTCGGGTTTACTACTCATCTTCGCTGTTTTATAGGCTTTTTCTTTTGATTTGATACTTTCCCTAACTGCTCTAGTTAGCCATGGCTGCACCACCTTTCCCATGGCATTCTTATTCCTCAAAGGAATATGTGCTCGTTGGGAATTTTGCACTATCTCCTTGAATGTCTGCCATTGCTGGTCTACCGTCAAATCTTTAAGTTTAGTCTCCCAGTTTATTCTAGCTAAATCCTCTCTCATACCAGCAAAGTTGGCTCGATTTAAATTGAAGACTTTTGCTTCAGACTTCACTACTTCCCTCTCTAACTTAACACTAAATTCCATCATATTATGATCGCTTTGCCCTACTGTAAAGTGAATTGACTGTATATTTTGGGGCCGAAACCCAGCAGCCAATTGCGCACAGCAGTATCCCACAAACAGTTGTGGATTGAGTGACCAAATTATTTTTATTTATGTTGAAGGAATTTTTACCCCTGAAAAAGCAATCCGCCAATCGACTAACAACCGGGTTCCTACTTACTGCTCAGTAAACAGAGGTGTGTGGAGTCAGGAAACTTGCCCCACGTTTTGGCCTACCGGGAATCGAACCCAGGTCCTCTCGTTTGTGTGACAAGTGCTCTAACCATGAGCTACAGGACTCCATATGACCTGGTTGTGCACTGCAGAGTGCTATACTGTACTAGTGCAAGAAAATAAGGCTTTTCTTTGTTGAATTGGACCCTAGCAATATTCTTCATTTATAAAGAAAAAAAATGCAAATTGACATATATTGAAATGTGACACTTTCTAGTCTTTAATGCAACTTTAAAGTATTTTATTTTGTGCCTGGAATGTCATATTATTTGGACTCTAAAATTATATTAGGGTATATCCGAAGCCTCCAAATTTGCAAAATTTATTGAATGAAAGGAAATCAATTTTTGTGAGCTGCATGCAGAACACAGAGCAGAATAACTGCCAATGTTGTTTTTGAAACACCTCTTGATTTTTGACTTTTGTTGCAGTGCGGCAGAAAGAATTAGCTGAAAGAAAAGCAGAAGATGAGAGTGAAGCTGACACATCTGCTCTTTGTCCCAAGGTTAGTCAGTTTGTCGAGAGCTTTCAACTGCTTGTCCAGCGAGGACAGTATAATCCCACTGAGTGCCACAGTTGAAGATGGTGAGTGCAGTGCACAAGTTCCTCATACTGATACATATGGAGGGCTACTTGGAGTCAGTCACGCTAAAATCAGTAAAAGCATTGATCAAGTCATGAAGACTCTTTCACAAAACCTCCATATGCATATGGCCCTCTAACAGAAACCAAGCTTGGGCTGACATACCAGAATTAGAAGCAAGGGATGTCTCCTCTCTATCTGAGTCTCCTTTCGTGTTGTCTTCTGTAGTGTACAAAACCAGTTGCATAAACTTCCCTTGAATTTAGAAGGTTGAGGGGTGATCTAATTAAGGTTTTTAAAATAATGAAAGGATTTGATAGAGTAGATACAGAGAAATTATTTCCTCTGGTGGGAGAATCCAGAACAAAGGGGCATAATCAATTTATTATTACTGGATTCTCTTCAATGTTTTCCTGTTAACCCGTTATACTCTTATCTTTGCCTGTGCAGGTAAGCATTTCGGGACTTGGCAAAGAACTATCCATCTCTGACACAGAACCTTCAGAGATATCCTGGACAGAAAATGGTACCTTTAACTTGTCAGGAGGCCATACACCGCAGACTGACGCTTCAGATGGTATGGTCAATCTGTCTGTCATAATAGCATCTACACATAATTTTTTTTATACATTAGATATGAATGAAATAGTCAAATTTTTAAAACTGACTGGATTTATTCTTAAATAAATTTTGAGGTGACTGGGAAAGATGACTGAAGATGCATTCAGAGGTATATTTTGAAGCATACCTGTAGCTCAGTGGTTAGAGCTCTCGTCTCGCAAGCGAGAGACCTGGGTTCTGTTCCCGGCAGGGCGAAACCTTGGGCAAGTTTCCTTACTCCACATGTCTCTGTTTACCTAGCAGTAAGCAGGAATCGGGTGGTTAGTCGATTGGCAGATTGCTTTCTCAGGGGTAATAATCCTTCAAAGAAAAACAAGCAATAATAATTTGGTCACTCAATCTATGACGTTTGTGGGACACTGCTGTACGCAATTGGCTGGCACGTTTTGTCCACAAATGTACAATCAGATCACTTTACAGTATATTCCGTGAAACGCTTTGAGAAGTCTAGAAGACGTGAAAAGTGCTATATCAAATGCAATTATTATTATTTATTATTATACCTTGAAAGGTGGTAGAAGAGAGCAAGTTAGATGGACTCCGGGATACAATTCCAGGGAACACAGGCAGAATGGCTGAAAAGGCCATCAAATAAAGATGGGGAGGATAGGATGGCGGGGGCCATGAAGCTTGTCTGTGTTTATTGAGTGAAGGGAGCAGCCGGGATAATAGGTTGACATATACAAACATAATTTTTTTTATTTGTGAGTTCTAGTTTGGGAGATTTGTCAGAGGTGAACAAAACGTTTACGGCGAATCCCTAGCCGGCATTCCAGAGGGAAAAAGTCAGCAAATAAATAAGCTGCTATTTTGCTTGCAGACCTTTTACTGGATTTCATCAGCTCAAGATTCAGAATTTGCTATGTCATGAATGTTGCAATCTGTTATTCTCAAAATAGAAATCATAATTAACACAATAAATCTGGATTATGAGCATAGCTATTTTAAGTCGCCATGCAATTTTGCCCACAAAATATACAGTCAGTTCACTTTGCGGTATATTCTGTAAAGCGCTTTGAGACTTCTCAATGATATAAGGCACGATATCAATTGCAAGGATTATTATTATTATCGAACAAGTGTTGAAACAAAAATGCAGTAAAATTTCTATAAGAATGCTGAAATTATCTTTAAAAATGTGTGATTTAATCTTTGAATCAGATCTAGACCGTCCAAGTGATCATGAAGAAGTATTTGCCAGAGATCTTCCAGAATTCCCATCAATAGAGACTGGTAACAAGGGAACAATAGATGACGACGACGATGACTTGAGCATTGGCATCCCTACTCCTCCAATTCCCACACTGGAACCCTATGACGCAGGTTCATGTCAGGAAGGCATACATGCAGGAAGCTTGCTTGCTGGACATCTCTTAAACTTGTCGGAAGAACAGACCTTCAATCTTATCAGCACAGTGGCGAGTGACGTCATAGCTGCAGCTGTGTCATCAGCTGTGAAAGGCCAGTTGCAGTCCGCAGAGCCGGTTCCCGCCCCAGCGCCACAGCTCAACTCAAGCGATGAGACTGATACCGAAGAGGCTGATGACTTTGAACTGCTTGACGAGTCGGAGCTGGAACAGATTGAGAGCGAACTAGGACTGGATCAGGGCCAGGCAGCAAACCAACGTCAAGCCAAAGATGGCAAGTCAGGTTTTCTCTCAAACCTACTCGGGGGTCATTAAGCCTCCTTTCAGGGCTGGAGAATAAACATACAGACCACATGTGAACAACAAACAAACACAAGCTACGGGCTTATTTACTACCGTTGTTCCCTGAAAGAGCCAAACCTTAAAAATATGATCTTGTGAATATGGAACTAATGAGTGCAGCAAGAAAAGAATGAAAAAAAAGTGAAATAGTTCTGCACATTTATCAGCGTTTAATAATCTAGTTATTGAAGCAACTGAATTGATTTGTGTTATTTGGTATAATGGGCCACCTATTTTGTGTGTGTTGTCTGACTATAATCTTTATGCCTTGAAATAACAGCATGGAAATTAATCCTGTCTTGTTGATCTATAAGTTGTTAAGCTTTAAAAGATGTTTTAACTGACATATATTGCCAAATTAGAAAGTCAGGTATGCACTGAACACAGTTTTTCGTTCTTTTTGAAACTTGTGCGCAGACATTGACAATCAGTCATCAGAAACTCCACCTGGGTCTATTACAACTGGACTGCGAAGGAAACAAAATGACCTCTTTCGCATACAAGGCAGTATTTTAGATTATTTTGTAAAGGTATTCCTCTCTGCAGAGATAAGCAAGAGAAAAACTGCAAATCTTAAATTCAAAACAAAATCCAATGCACAGCAAGACGATCTGCATCTGAAAGAGACACAGATTAATGTTTCATTGAGTTCTGCTGCAGGGTCCTGGCTGAAACATTAAGCTCATTCAGGTGCTGATTTCTCTGCAGGGCATTCCTGACAATTCCTATTTTCCTCTTGTGGTTTTTTTTATTTTAGCGTATTAAAGTAGACGTACCCATGGAATTATTAACTGTACTCATTTTATTGTTGCATATGAGTAGAATGTTCAAAGTAAGCCTCTTTCAAATTTCAGATTATTCATCCATCTCCAAGCCTGCACCGCTTTTTAATGTGTAAAACAAATCTGTACTACAATTTCTTTGACCCTTTGCCTTAATGGACTGCAAATTCAGAAATGTATCAAATATCAAGTTGTAAACCACATCTGACACATTTAAATTTTGTTTATTAGTTTACAAATAGCTACAGATACTTTAGATTTTTCCATATTTGTTTACACGTCAGATGTTTTCCTGAGTTAAAAGACCTGACTGGAAACATTTTAGTGAACTTTGGATAGTTGGCACAATGTTGCAAATAGTTTGTTTCAAAGATTAATAAACACCCTGGCAGCTAATCTAGCTGTTGTACTTTGCTCCATGTTAGGGCTGGTTGTTGAAATGAAACGATTACTCTGAAATTCACACTAATTTCCTTCATATATAAAATATTGTACCGGCCCCTGGTGATGTCCACTCTGTTGAACACATTCAAGGCCCAGAGTTGGAATGGTGAGCTGGTTGTCCTCTCTCCTCGTCTCTCCACAGCTCATCCCAGCTCAAGAAGCACAGCCTTAGGGGACATTTCATAACATAAGAACTTTCAAGATTAGAAAGGCCATTGTGCCCCAAAAGCCTGTCCCTCTCTGAATACTTTAAATTTGAATATGTGAATTTTTATCTAGGTGTAGACGGCCAAACCAATTTTACATTTTATATTCCTCACTGAAAAAAGTCCAAACAATAATTGGAATAGGGCTCTGTATGTGAAAGCATTTTTAAGATGTCCAATCTATTGACTGGAGCGGTTAGATCAATAAGTCTAGTTTGCATTTGCCTAGCTTGTTTATAGGTATGGAGTAGTTTATCTAAAAAAAAAATTAATAAATTTATTTACTAATTTTTATGATTGTAATTGGTACATTTTCTATTGAGCATGTAGTGACTGACTGTTTAAATAACTGATTTCATCCTTTGAAGCCTCAAATGGTTTCTGTTGCTCCTGTGAATACCTATTAGCATAGAAAGAGAACCAAAAAAGGCTAACTCCGTAGCTTAGTTTTGCTGTTTCATCAACGTGTGTTGGCTAAAGGTACAGTTTTAGTGATCAGGTCGCGAATTATCCTGAGGTGGCGTATCATAATATTTGGGTCTTTTAGTATTAAGAGAATTAAAGCTAGTTTCATTTCTTTCCTGCTTGACCTGAATCCATACACCTCTGCATGCTGCAGTAGAAAATGATCCTTTTTGAATATTTAATATTCATTTGAAATGTGTTTTAATTCTAAATATTGTTATAGGATAGTTTAGATTTATCCTGAGATGTGGGAACAGTCCCTCTGTCCTTTTTTTAAAAAAAATTGTCTAATTGACACATGACTAACAGTAAACATCAGATCTATGCCAGTTTTAAGATTTTTTTTTGCAAATACAGTGTGTAACAGTCATCACACTTTATTTGTAAATTCAATGAAAATTAGTGCAGGAGTCTGCAAATTTGACCCACCTTACTGAGTAAGAGGACATGGAAATGTCCCTAAGTTAAGAGTGTAAATCTTCAGAGTTGGGACCCACGTTTATTTGTTTCATCTTCCCAATTTGTTGTAGTATGCAGTAACTGCAGTTGCGCAATGTTATGGTTTTACAGTGACTGTTAACAGAGATTCTGCAATCCTATTTTGTGTGGATGTAGGTATTGCATACAAGCACACATTTAGGAGCTCAGTTTAATTAAACAAGAACCTGTTTTCAGTACATTTATCAATAATTTGGGTTGACAGTCAAACAAACTTCATTTGGGAGCACAAACAAAAGATGACAGGCAGGATATTAGATGTTGTACTATCAGTTAACCTTGGCTTTAGATAATATTTGACCTTAATCTGAAAGTTAAGTATTTTACAAACTTTCAGTAACAAATGGTTCAGAGTTTTAAACTTCACTTCACAGTTGCTGCACTTACACGATTTGGACACCTCACTCTCATATATATGAATGTCCCTTTTCATACTGGAATGATCAACATAAATTGCAACCATTGTTCTGCATTAAATCAATCCTGAGTTTAGTGCTGCAGTACTCTTGATTGGAAGGTGTTTTGGTCAGATGGTTTTTTTAAAAAAAGTTGGGATAGGCCAATTCTTTGGGCTTGCTTTTGTGACATCTGTTTCTGGTTACAAACTAAAATTGAGCACATCTATTTCTTATGTATTGTCTATCCGGTTTCAGGCACATTTTCTTTGTTTGGATATGTTTAGCCGTACATGAAAGGAACCAGTGGATTGCTCCACAGTTCAGCTATATTCAAGGAAAGTATGGAGATCATCACAGTCAGTCATGCATTTTGTCATTAAATGTAATTTTGTGGAAAACTGAAAGATCATTATGAAATGTGGGTGATGGGACAAATGGGAATTGATTTTGAAAAATATTACAAATAAAATATATTTTTGCACTTTATACATGTTATTTACTAAAATGCACTTTCTCTCAAAGCAGCATGTAAGCCAATAACAGTTACTCTCTCACTCTCCAAAACTAAGAATAACCAGAAATAGAGGTCATTACAAAATGTCTTATTGTGATGGTATTTCAGTAAAGCAAGATGAAAAAGTCCCATCTGCAGCACTTTATTAAAGAACCTTTTATGCATAGGATCTAAAATTATTTCAGTGGTAAATACATGCCCGTTATCCTAGTAGGATGTGATAATCAAAGCTTGTGTAATACTGTGCTGATTTGTTTCTCTTTGTGATTGATGACTGCTTTTTTCAACAAAAAAAATAAAGGCACTTTATGTACAATAACATCCTCTTTAACCAGTCTAATGTCAATTTTCCAATACAAATTACAGTACTCTGATTTTTGTTGAACATTTTGTTTTATATGCAGCTCCCTGTTTAAGAAAACCTAAATCATAGATTTTTGAGTTATGTCAATTATCCATGTAACATTCATTTTCTAACACAGAACCCTTTGTACATTCTCTACTTCAGTCTTGTTCTTATTTCATCATTTTTCCTAAAGCTCACTGAGGACTCGATGCAACTTGCGAATTATTTTAGATGTGTTGCTAAGTTGAATAAAAAAATACTTTTCCTCATACTTTTATCCTCCACTAACTTGTAGGTGTCCTAGAGGAACGGAACGGTCAAATATTTTAATAAAGAGATGCCTTGAAGATAAGAAATCGTGTTTTTATTACCCTTTGTTTTGGTCGGACGACTCACTGTGGATTCATACCACTGTATTTCTCCAAATTAAACCATTGGGAGTTCCATGTAAGTATGGTTTCTATTTGATGTGCAGTGTGCACTCTACCCCAGAGGGAAACACCCTGATTATATAATCCCAGTTGGAGGGTATAGAGGGCACATTCACTCACCAAAGGGATGCACCCTGCTCACCTATTTTGGAAAGTATTTGGTGCAGGTTGCCAAGAGCCAAGGATTGAAACCCCATAGTGTGAATTGGAGTACTGCTGGAATTTAACCGAGATTCCACAGTCTTATCAATGCAGAGAATTACTAAGCTTCCTACTGCTTGTCCACCTGAGACTACACCCAGGACCGAGTTAGGACTTGGGTTTACAGGATTATCTAGAGCAGAGTGGAAAGTATCCCAGCCCCAGACACTGACTTTCTTCTTCAAATCTGATCAATAAACCAGGCTATTGAGTTCAGTGCCTTGGAGTACTGCAGATCTGCTTGGCTCCTGGCTCATGTACAGGGCTCACCACAGAGGATAGATTCCGTTCCAATTTTCCATTGCCAAATTTGTTGCCTTAGAATCAACTCAACCCTAAATAAAACCCTGTCAATAAACAGGAAAAGCACATACTTGAAACAAATATAGCTGTTGTACAGTGAGTGCGCTACCAATCTTGTGTGTCACTGAGCTAATTATTTTATTGTCTGCATTAGGTGGACATGCTAAAAGCTAAAAGACCATTAAATGTGATGATTTTCGTCATTTATAAAAGATAAATAATTTGAAGTCATTCTGTGTTTTTTTAAAGTGAAGTTTATTTATAGCTGGCTTAGTTTTAGTATTTTCCATCACTGTTGCTTCAGACATGTCTAATAGGTTTATGTCCCAATTAATATCGACTGGTCAGTACACATGGGTTTGCTTGGGTTTAAAATATTCTGGGACACTCCTGAATTATTCCACATTTTGACAACCACCAATCACTGCTGCTTCTCGGGAAAAAGCAAGAAACAACCTTGGAAACATTTTACATCTGAGTGGGAGTCTTTGACAGAAGGTTAGTGCAATGTCATTCAGAAAGGTAGTCTTTTCGCATAAAACAAATAGAAGCATTCTCAGAGTTAAGAGAAGCCTCTAGATCAGTGGTTCCCAAATAGGGGTCCACGGACTCTTGGGGGGTATGTGGAGCTGAGAGATGCGTGGGAAGTGCAAAGATTACGGAAGCCTAGTTCTACTTCCCGACGTGAAAGGTGCTATATAAAAGAAATTTGTTGTAGTTGTTCAACCGGAAGTCTGCGCAGCCCGAGGAGCAGATGAGAAAGGTGCATTCCGATAGTTCCAGTGTAAGATGTGTAGGAAGGGAGGGTGACCTTGTTGCTCAGCAGGAAGCCCTCGCCAGCCCGAGTGGGGATCCTCAGTCAGGATATCTAATATCCTATGGGCTCTTGATACCTTGATACCTAACCCTTTGGGAGCCTTAAGCCCTGAAAGTGGGAACCCCTGCTTATAGATCATGGGTGCTTTGAGCATCAACAAGGTGATTCAGTACATTGTCTATGTTTAGCAGTACATTATCCAATAATAATTTGGTAATTCATTTGGTATAGTGCCTTTTATGTCAGGAGGATGTCCCAAAGTGCTTCACACAATATACTGTAATGTGTTTTAGGCAAATGTGATACCCACTTTGCGCACAGCAATGCCCCACAAACAGCCATGCAGTGAATGACCAGTTTTATTTATGGATTGTTGGCCAGGATACTGCAGAAATTCCTTTCTGTTTTAATATAGTGCCATGGGATCATTAATGTCCCCCTGAACAGACAGACAGGGGTCTTGGTGTAAAGTCTCATCCAAGAATGGCATCTCCAACATTGCAACACAACCCTAACACTTAATTGCAGTGTCACGTTAGAGTGTATGAGTTCCAAGTCCTGATGTCTGGCTCAAACCCACAACCTTCTGACTCAAGAGGCAAGAGCGCTACCCTCTATACTAGGCTGATACACAATAAGATGTTGAATTCTTAACATCCAACTGAAATTACATAAAGTGACATCTCAATTGTGGAGAGGCTGAAGGACATGAGGCAGTGCCAGCTCAGCGAAGGAAGCAGGTAGAAGAATGGGATGTTAGCAAACCGGAGAGGTAGGGAGATGGCAGGGTGTCAAGAGATTTGAAAGTGAGAGTGAAGATATTGAAATCAATCTGTTCTGCAACAGGACAAAACTTTAGTCACATTTCCTTATTCCACAAACCTCCGTTTACCCAGCAGTAAATAGGACCCCGGTTGCTAGTCAATTGGCAGATCCGGGGGAAATAATCCCTCAAAAAATAATAATAATTTGGTCACTCAATCCACAACTGTTTATGGGCAACAATTGGCAGCCCCTTTTTTCCATCACAAAATAGTCAACTCACTTTACACTATTCCATGAAGCACTTTAAGATGTCTCAGTGATGTGATAAGGCGCTATATCAAATGCAAAGATTTATTATTAACCGATGCAGTGGAGTCTGGCAAGCATCGGGGTGATGGTGTGGAGCCTCTTATGGTTGATGACATGGGTGACAGAGTTTTGAATCATTTGAGTCTTGCACAACTTTCTGCGCCCACAAAATGTTATATTTATACCATACTTGAATTTAATGCAATGCTTTATTAGATATTGTCTCAAACCACTTTGCACAATTACTTTGTTACTTTGAGTTTCTTTGAGTTGTACAAGCAAACATAGCAACTAGGTCTCCACGAACATAACAACTTGTATTTACATAGCACTCTTCATGTGGCGGTAGCGTCTCGCAGAGTTTGATGCTGAGCCAAGGAGAGGAGATGATCGCAGGCACAGGCGAAGAGGAAGGTCTTCAGGTGTGATCTGAAGATGGGAGAGGAGGAGGCAAAGTGGAGGGTTTGAACCCCAGAGTTTGTAGTTTTGGGGCGTTGTGGCTGAAAGAATGGCCACCACCCACCATGGTGGAGAGGAGGGGATGAAGGATGTGCAGGAGGCTAATAATAATAATAATAATAATAATCCTTGCATTTGATATAGCGCTTTTCACGTCGGGAGGACGTCCCAAAGCGCTTCACAGAACACACTGTAAAGTGAATAGACTGTATATTTGTGGGCGAACGCGGCAGCCAACTGAGCAAAGGTGATGGATAGTGGAGTGTAATGTGTGCAGATCGGAGTGGTAGGGAGATACCAGGGCATGAAGTGATTGTACTCGACTGCGAGGATCTTGAAATCAATGCTTCTACAATGGGGATCCAGTGAGCCTGGCCAGGACTGCGTGACGGAGGGACGGAGGTGGTGAAGACACCAGTAGTGGGAGTTTTGAATGAATTGGATTTTATGAACGGCGGAGCTGCGGAAACCACCAAGTAGGGAATTGCAATGATCAAGGCGGGAGGCGACGAACGTGTAGTTGAGGGTTTTAGCTTTGGTGGTGGGGTATGAGGTACGGTTGGAGGTGGGCGACGCGGCAGAGGCGGAGGAAAGCGGTCCTGGTCGGGGAAGAACGCGAGGTCGGCGAACGAGGTAAACGACCAACTGGTGGCGCGGTGAGAGTTCAGATGAGTGGGCAGCGTCGGCCGCGGCACAGGGGCAGCGCCTTATCCTCGTTTTGCAATGGCGCAACGAGACGACGTCAACATCCGGACCAGAGCAGAACTTCCATCGCCCATTTTATTCAAAGCACAGGACCGCTCGGAGTGGGGCCCTTCTCGCCTCTCAAGTGCAACCCCAAAGTTGTGAGCCCCTCTGGGATTTCCGGTGGGTGGGATGAATGGAACATTTTTTTTCTCTCTGTGCGGGTCACCAAAGCCCCAACAACAAAAAAAAAGATACAAGTGCAGAGGGTGTACTCCGCGCCACTGGGGGGCGACCGTGCGGGAGAGGCGCGGTGTGCGCGCGGGGGCTGCCGGGAGCCGGGGCCGCTCTGGGTGGTCACAGCACTGCGCACAGTGACTGAGGCGCCGCCGAACCCCCGGAGGGTGAGTGGAACGCGGCTGTTTGTTCGGTTGTTACTCCGCGTTCTTATCAGGAACGCGGGGGTCACTGCGTCACTGTGTCACTCACTCACTCACTCACTCACTGCCTCACACTCACTAACTCTCTCACTCACTCACTGCCTCACTCACTCTCTCACTCACTCACTCACTTACTCTCTCTCTCACTCACTCACTGCCTCACTCACTCACTCACTTACTCTCTCTCTCACTCACTCACTGCCTCACTCACTCACTCACTCACTCACTCACTCACTCACTGCCTCACTCACTCACTCACTGCCTCACTCACTCACTCACTCACTCACTGCCTCACTCACTCACTCACTCACTGCCTCACTCATTGCCTCACTCATTTCCTCACTCACTGCCTCACTCACTCACTCACTCACTGCCTCACTCATTGCCTCACTCACTCACTGCCTCACTCATTGCCTCACTCATTCACTCACTCACTGCCTCACTCACTCATTGCCTCACTCAGTCACTCACTGCCTCACTCAGTCACTCACTCATTGCCTCACTCTCTCACTCACTCACTGCCTCACTCACTGCCTCACTCACTGCCTCACTCACTCACTGCCTCACTCACTCATTGCCTCACTCACTCACTGCCTCACTGCCTCACTCACTCACTCCCTCACTCCCTCACTGCCTCACTGCCACACTCACTCACTCACTGCCTCACTCACTGCCACACTCACTCACTCACTGCCTCACTCACTCACTCACTCATTGCCTCACTCACTCATTGCCTCACTCACTCACTCACTCACTGCCTCACTCACTCACTGCCTCACTCATTGCTCACTCACTGCCTCACTCACTCACTGCCTCACTCACTCATTGCCTCACTCACTCACTCATTGCCTCACTCACTCACTCACTCATTGCCTCACTCTCTCACTCACTCACTGCCTCACTCACTGCCTCACTCACTCACTGCTTCTCTCACTCACTGCCTCACTCACTGCCTCACTCACTCACTGCCTCACTCACTGCCTCACTGCCTCACTCACTCACTCACTCACTCACTCCCTCACTGCCTCACTCCCTCACTGCCTCACTGCCACACTCACTCACTCACTGCCTCACTCACTCACTGCCACACTCACTCACTGCCACACTCACTCACTCACTGCCTCACTCACTCACTCACTCACTCACTGTCTCACTCCTTGCCTCACTCACTCACTCACTCACTCACTCACTCACTCACTCACTCACTGCCTCATTCACTCACTGCCTCACTCACTCACTCACTGCCTCACTCACTCACTGCCTCACTCACTCACTGCCTCACTCACTCACCGCCTCACTCACTGCCTCACTCACTCACTCACTGCCTCACTCACTGCCTCACTCACTCACTACCTCACTCACTCACTGCCTCACTCCCTCACTGCCTCACTCCCTCACTGCCTCACTCCCTCCCTCACTGCCTCACTGCCACACTCACTCACTCACTGCCACACTCACTGCCACACTCACTGCCACACTCACTCACTGCCTCACTCACTCACTGCCTCACTCACTCACTGCCTCACTCACTCACTGCCTCACTCACTGTCTCACTCATTGCCTCACTCACTCACTCCCTCTCTCACTGCCTCACTCATTGCCTCACTCACTGCGTCACTCATTCACTCACTCATTCACTGCCTCACTCACTCACATACTCACTGACTGTCTCACTCACTGTCTCAATCATTCATTGCCTCACTCACTGTCTCACTCACTCACTTCCTCACTCACTGCCTCACCACTCACTCACTGCGTCACTCACTTACTGACTCACTCACCCACTTACTCACAGCCTCACTCACTGCATCACTCACTCACTGCATCACTCACTGCCTCACTTACTCACTGCCTCACTTACTCACTGCCTCACTCAGTCACTCACCCGCATACAAAATAAAAATTTGGTCACACAATTCACAACCGTTTGTGGCACACGTCTGTGTGCAATTTGGCTGCTGCATTTCACCCACAAAATATACAGTGAATTCACTTTACAGTATATTCCGTGAAGCGCTTTGAGTTTCCTTACTCAACACTCCTGTTTATCTAAGCAGTAAGTAGGAGCCCAGTTACCAGTCGATTGACGGATCGCTTTCCAGCGGTAATAATCCCGTTTTTAAAAAAAAATAATTTGAACACTCAAATTGATGACTGTTTGTGGGACGCTGCTGTGCGCAATTGGCTGCCGGGTTGCGCCCACAAAATGCACAGTCAATCCAGTTTACAGTAGGTCTGGTGAAGCGCTTTGAGTCATCTCGAAGATGTAATAAGTGCTATATCAAATGTAAGGATTATTATTATAATAATTGGCATCTGGACATTGGCTATTCTTACCATTTACATATGCCATGGCTATGATATCTGTTGTAAGGTGCCTCGAGTTTCACACTGTGCTCCCAATGTTTGATGTAATATCTTATACAAGTGCACCACTGCCTTGATTTAGTATTCGGTGCCTCTAAATTGTTCTCAAATCAATTAAGTTCAGTGCCATAAAAGTGCTAAAATACTACTCTTGAGTGCTCGTTTTTTCTTTGCCCCAAAAGAGAGTTTGCCACTTTTTTTTCACAAATTGAATGCACCTCTAACATGCAGCATGATTTTGACAAAATGACAGGTTAAAATGTTTCAATAATTTTTCTAGTTTTGTTTTGCCCTTTCTTTCTCTCCCTGCCATTCCCCCCAAAGAGTTCACATAACATTGAACCCAAATTGAGCTACTTGTACAGTTTAACAGAACCAAACACGGTTTGACCTCGAGTCTGAGAAGGGGTTTAAATCCATCCTTGTCTGATGGAATAAAAATCTCTTTTGATATTTGTAAGGATGCTAAAAGAGTCCCAGCTTTAACCGAATGCCAAGTGGAGTTGAGTCCACGGTACAAAAATACTGACAACCTGGCAGTAAGTTGTCAGTATCGCTGAGACAAGCTATTAGGATGGTTGGTGTGGGAGTGGCAAATGTCTCTCTGGGACTCTTAAGTGGTTAGTGTTATGGGAGCATAGAGGGAACTTTACAGTGATCTAAACGTGCTTGACGCGGACACTAGATGCCGTATTTAGCAGAAATCGTGTCCTTATTTATCACTGCTGGCTGGTGGAGAAATAAATGGTCAACAGTGAATCACTCTGCTGACGTCATGGGTGGCTTTTGTTTTTGACAGCCAGAGGTGACTTTTTCTGATTTCTGCTGTGTCGCTGGATTTATTCTATGGAAACTGAGTTAATAATAATAATCCTTGCATTTGATATAGCGCTTTTCACGTCGGGGGACGTCCCAGTTGTGTTCTTATGTTGTACTCTGATAATTAAGGTGCTTTGCTCCCGCCAGCACAGTGATTATAGAGTGAGAAGGACAAAAAAACACATCAAATTCGCTTGTGCAAAAATGGTCCATTCATTTTAAAGATCCGTTTTTACCGTTGCATCTTTAATACAATTAAACATTCTGTGTTCAAAATTGCTGGACCAAATCGCACTGTATTTAAAAGCATCTCCAGATAACTTTAAAGAACTCGTTCTCAGCTTCCGTTAACTAAAACAAGATTGTTTCTGTTTAAGGAATGTCTTCCTACACGTGCATCACATGCCGCGTGGCATTTGCTGATGCTGAGATTCAGAGATCCCACTACAAAACTGACTGGCACAGGTACAACCTGAAGCGCAAAGTGGCTGACATGTCTCCTGTCACAGCCGAGAATTTCCAGGAACGAGTGCTGGCTCAGAGAGCAGCAGTGGAGGAACAGAACAAGGGCACGGCCACAGACTGCGTAGCTTGTGGCAAGAAATTTGCCACATTCAATGCCTACGAGAACCACCTGAAATCCAAGAAGCACCACGATGCGGAGAAGAAGACGGTGAATATTGCCAATAAAGAGTTGGAGAGGCTGAATGCCAAAAACGCAGAGAAGGGAGTAAGTGAGAATAACGTCGACAAAGATGCAGTGAATACAGCCATTCAGCAGGCACTGAAGGCCCAGCAATCTCCGTCTGCAAGGAAGAGGATCAGTTCCACTGACCAACAGCAGAGGGAGGGCACGAAAAGGGCTGACAAGCCACCAAGGTTGATCTGGTTAGAACAGCAGGCAAAGAAACTAGAAGAGGGCCAGTCGTCTGATGAGGAGATGATGGTGGATGAGGAGGGGGGAGATGAGGGTAAGTGGAGACACATAAATTTCTTTTTCACATCTGGTGGGAGAGCCTTCAGCCACTCTGCCCCCAACCTCTGGAATTCCATCCCCCAGTCACTCCGCCTCACCCCCTTCTTGGCCTCTTTCAAGTCCCACCTCAAAACCCTCCTCTTCGACCATCCCATCGGCCACCCCCCTTCCCCTCCCCTCCCTTCCCCCACCCCCGACCCCAGCTCAGGTCTGAAATGCTGCACGCCATCCAGCACCTTGGGACGTCCTCCTGACGTGAAAGGCGCTATACAAATGTAATCGTTGTTGTTGTTGTTGTGAGGTAATGGATATATTGACTTCTTGTACTTTCATATATTTTCCCTCCAAAGAATATCTTTCACATTTTTTCCCGGATTAACAAATCCTGCTTGAATACAACACCGATATACAAAAGATTGTGTAGTTTGGTTTTAAACTGCCTTCTTATAGCAAATGTATTTAAGTTTGATGGTATTGAAGTCAATCAACCATCAGACGGTTGCTGCATATAAGTGCAGCAAACTGTAAATGCAGCAAAATCAAACTAGACCGACTGATTTCACAACTTCCTGCCACTGGAGCAATGGCTATTGAAGTATTGATTTAAGATTTAGACACAGAAACCCTCCACTGACAAAGGCAGAGTAGTTTAGGATGTTACTAGTGCATAAATAGCTGTTGTGTCTAAAGTGCACATTTCGCCCACGAAATGCACAGTCAATTACAGTATATTCTGTGAAGCGCTTTGAGACGTCTCAACAACGTGAAAAGGCGCTATTCCAAATGCAAGGATTATTATTATTATAAGTGACGTTTGTCAGCTACTTGCTCTGTGTGCGGCTTCTGCAGTCTCAATTATGAGAAGTGCACACTCTAATCTTGCAATACAAATCACTGAGGTGCTCCCAACAATTAGTTTTCATCCTTTCTGGTATTAGGGTATGTACTCGGTTTGCACAGGAGATTTTGTTGTGGTTTAAACAAAAATATTGAAGTATCAGTACAAACCCACACCAGGTTGTCAGAATTTCATGTTCTGGCTACGTGCACTATACTGAGGAATCTCTTTTAATGTCACTTCCAGGTTAGCAAGAATTATGTGTTTTAATCATGTGGACTGCATTCTTCAATAAAATAAAAATAAACATGGAGAAAAAAGCAATGTTTTCCAGAGTAATGAGTCCTATTTCTGTTGTAGAAGAATGTGCTTACAATTTAATGCCTTTGGCATGTTTTCATGTTTTGGCATTGCAGTGCACATTTCCCACCAAATTCCAAATTAACCTGCACGACTTGTGAATCCAAGCGAAGTAGAGAACTTGGTGAGAGAATGCAATACACAATACAATAGAAAATTACATTTGTATAGTGCCTTTCATGTCGGGAGGACACCCTAAAGCGTCCCCCCGACGTGAAATACAAATAAATCCATGAGGAAAGCTGGCAACACTCAAAATATGAATACAAATAATAATCCTTCCGTTTGATACAGTGTCTTATCACGTTGTCAAGACATCTCAAAGTGCTTCACGGAATATAGCGTAAAGTAGTCTGACTGTGTATTTTCCATGGTAAATACAGATCATTGAAATTGTGCAAAATCTATTTTCATGCCCCAGTCTGGCCTGTCAAGGCATTAGGTTGAATATGCAGGAGGGAGTTACCCACAGCACATTCCCATCATGTACAAATACTCCCATTGGAGTATTCCAGAGGGACCTGGTGCACCCACTGAGTGAGATGGTGTTTAATGTGTCAATCACTTGTATGATTTCTAGCAAACAAGCATAACGCTGTACTAGAATTATGTAGTGATTTAATGGGAAATGTTTCCATTACTTTTTAAAAGTCTTTTTTATGATTCCTGTCAAAGAGAGCCTTAAGCGATCACCTCTGAGCCCTCTATAAAATGTACCATACTTATAAGTTTATCCCATGATTTCAAGTGTGAATAAAATGTTTGTATATGACTGCATTTTAAAAGTTATCTTTCTTTAATTTTAATATTGGGAGTGGGGGGACGACGATTTTCAAAGGATTAAATTAACTTTTGTTCTCTTTGTCTTGCACTGCTTCCGTTAGATGGTTGGGAAGATATAGACTCGGATAATGAGCAAGAGGAAGGCTTGAAGAGCGAAGAGGGGAGTCGGGCTAGTAAACGTCCGAGAGAGGATACCGCACCTGGTGCGCTTCCAGTCACAGACTGTCTTTTCTGTGCACACCATTCCCATTCCCTCTCGAAAAACATGAAACATATGATGGAGATTCATGGCTTTTTCATCCCTGACATTGAATATCTAGTGGATCTGAAGGGGCTGATCAATTACCTGGGTGAGTATGAGAAAAGTTCATTTATTTGGGCTGTATTTCCTTTATGTTTTTTTCAGGCGTGGCATTTAGTGTGTTTATTTCAAAATAAACATGGAGCAAAGCATATGGATCTCTAAATACTGAAAAACTATCTGAAGTAAAATGAGTTGATTACAAATAGAATTGACCGCATTACGAGAGGTGGCTGGTTTGTGCCATGATGGCATAATGCAGTAGCCATGTCTAGTGCTGAGGAACAGTGGAAAGTTGCTCTGTGTTTGCACTTCCTGCTGCTCCACACCTGCACCACTCTGTTTCCAATCTTACCTGATAAAGGCATCTTTATCTGTTTCCAATCTTACCTGCTGTAAAATGCCAGGTGCTTTTCTCAAGGCAATGGAGGAACATTGTGAGAGGTTGGAGCTTTTGGGGAGTGTCATGAAAATGAGGAGACATGCCCTCAAATAAGTGTAAAATGTTGTATTTCTATGATAGGTTAAAAAAAGGATTACAAATGCAGTGTTTCTAAACCCATTCAGTTCCTATTTAAGGAATGGTGTGTAATGTGTTTTGAACTCTTTCCCCCACCAACTTCTAAATCATTTCAAAAGACTTTTCTGAACTTACATTAGAATATACAGCACAGAAACAGGCCATTTGGCCCAACTGCTCTATGCCGGTGTTTATGCTCTACATTAGCCTCCTGCCCTTCCTCAACTAAGCCTTCAAGCATAACCTTCTAACCTTAGTTAAACAGAGTTAGGGCAGTGACCTGTGAGGAAGCCAGGAGCGCCCATTTACTATGCTTTAATAATAATAATCCTTGCATTTGATATAGCGCTTTTCACGTCTTCTAGATGTCTCAAAGCGCTTCACAGAATAGACTGTAAAGTGAATTGACTGTATATTTGCGGGTGAAAGGCGGCAGCCAATTGCGCACAGCAGTGTTCCACAAACAGTCATGGAGTGAAGTGACCAATATATTATTGTTTTGTTTTGGAGGGATTATTATCAGGTGTGTGGAGTAAGGAAACTTGAACAAGGTTTCACCCTGCCGGGAACCAAACCCAGGTATCTCGCTTGCAAGGCGGGTGCTCTAACCACTGAGCTACAGGACCCCTTGACTCCACTCAACACTGTCAGCGGGGCACCTGAGCTGGGAGCCGAGAGAGATGGGATGGGGAGGGGAAGAGATGACCAAAAGTGTGGTCAGAGAGTTAGGTCTTGACGGGCCTTGAAAGAGGGGTGGGAGCGAGTCAAAGGGACTCCGGGAATGGAATTCCAGAGAGTGGGGGCAAAATGACGATGGTGGGAGCAGATGGGATGGGAGGACATGAAACCGGTGTTCTGGAAAGGGAATGAGCAGGTCGGGAGGTTATAGAGGCAGAGTGGGGAGGGGGTGGTAAATGAAGGACGTAGAGACGTTTTCCACTGGGGAAAATGGAAGCTTTCTGTGATGAAACTGCACGTCACTCAGTGTCTGTCCTCAGTACCCCTCGCGATGGCCCAGGGAGCTCCCATCATCTGTCCTGACAGTGAACCACGAAACACTGCACTCAATTCTCTCCTCTCTTTCTCTACTCTCTCACTCTTTTTGTTTCTCCCTCTCCCTCATGCTCTCTCTCCCTCCCTCAATCGTACTCTCTCTACCCGCTTTCTTTCACGCGCGCACACTCCTCACACACACTGTCAATTACTCTCTCACACTCTCCCCTCTCACATTCCACCTCTCCCCTCTCTCTCACACACTTTCTCCATTTCTCAATTACTCTGTCTCACCACCCCCCCCTCCCACACACACACACTCTCTATCCCCTCTCAAACTCTCTCAATCACCCTCTCAATCTCCCCCACTCTCTCTGTTTCTTTCTTTCCTCCTCTCCCTCACATTTACTCCCTTTCCCCTCACATTCTCCCTCTCTCAATCTCTCTCTGCTTTCTCAGTCTCTCTATCACTCTCTCTCACCCCCACTCTCTCACAATAGGATAATGATAAAATTAGACAAAAATGGATCACTTGCAACTCTTTTTGAAATTAATGACGAGATGGGTTAATAGTTTGTTATCATTGATACACCTTGCATTTCATTTAACTCTTTCATGTCAGGAGGATGTTTCAAATAACCTCACTTGGTACAGGATTTACTGTCAAGTGTAGAGACTAGTAGGCGAATGATCTCAGTAATGTATGCTCTTTTGTTTATTTTGCAGGAGAGAAGGTTGGCGTGGGAAACGTCTGTCTTTGGTGCAATGAGAAAGGTCGATCTTTTTACTCTACAGAGGCTGTGCAGGATCACATGGTTGACCTCAGTCACTGTAAACTCTTCACTGAGGGAGATGCTGCTCTTGAGTTTGCAGACTTCTATGACTTCAGGTAAAAGATAAATACAAATACGTGAAGACTCGTACTTTTATAAAACGTTCACACTACTGTCCTATTTGTGCATTTTCTAGGAATTGATATTTGTGAAGCAATCTGTGATTATATCCACTTTCTAAAATAAAATAATAATAATCCTTGCATCTGATATAACGCCTTTTCACACCGTTGTGAAGTCTCCAAAATTTTTTTTTAAATGAATAAATAAAAGGGATGGTTTAATACACATTTTGTTAACTGGACTCTGAACAAAACTGCATTGAATTGGCTGAGCTTTTTTTTGATGGAGGCAAAAGAGGGAATGGGAACTGACAGTTTGATTTATAGAATTTATTGACTTGGAATTGACACTTGGCAACTGTAGGGTGACATTGATGACTATCCTGGAGAGGTTGGTGGCCTAGTCTGACCTGTCTAGTCAGCAATCCGTGTGGAGGAAACCATCTGGGAAAACGGTGATTGAGAGGAGTGAAGAGAGGGTTGACAATGTGAGGACAAATTTCTGCCTGCTAGAGTTTAATCTCACGCCTTCAGGTCTCTTCATAGAAACATGAGGAAGCCTTTGAATCTGTTCTGATCATGGCAGGTTTTTAATTCCATTTCCCTAACCAATGGTCTGTAAAACTGCAGCATCGCATCCATGGGGAAGCCACTTATCACTGCCTGACAGTCAGAGAATGGCATTTAAATCCCAGCTCTCTGCTTCCTGGCTCCTGACCAATTTTCTGTCCATACCACAATATTTCCTTCAATTCCAGACACCTTAATCTTAGCTAATGTATCAATGGAGAAATGCAATACGAATTTACATTTATACAGCACCTTTCACATCAGGAGGCGCTTTATGTTAAGTGGAGGCGCTTTATGTTAAGTGGAGGCTAGTGGTAATAATAATAATAATCCTTACATTTGATAGAACCTCTTTTTAATTCATTGAGATGTCTCAAAGCGCTTCATAGAATATATTGTAAAGTCGAGTGACTGTATTTTGTGGGCAAAACGCAACAGCCAATTGGGCACAGCAATGTCCCACAAAAAACCATGAAGTGAACGACCAATTTTCATTATTTATTTTTGGAGGCATTCATAAGTGAGGGGGAGCAGTAAGGAGATGTGAAAATGTCTGTCTGCCAGTAGAATAAAAGTCTGTATGTACATTCAAAACTATAGGTGCTGGGTATAAGTTTTATGTCCTTGTTGCTGGAACAGATATAAGGCTAGAAAGTGCCTGAAAGCAGGTTAATTGCTGAATTGTGCGTGATGTAGTCACTCCTGTTTTAAGAGCAGAAATTGGGGATGATGGGGGAAGCAGTATAAGAGCAGTACCAAATAAGTGTTTACGTTTAAGGAAACATTGCATCATTTTTTTCTGAAATGTCTGTTTGGCTTTCATGTGTGAAGACAAAGTTACCCTGACCACAAAGAAGATGACGAGATGGAAATTCCAGGATTGCTAACCAAGGGTGTGGAATATGATGAGGACACGATGGAGCTTCTGCTTCCTTCTGGTTGGTACCCAGTCCTGATATCCATGCTAATCCCCCACTGTGCAAAACAGTAGGGGAGGCCTTTATTTCTGGGAACAGGATTAGGAGGAAAAACACAGCAGGGATGGATGGTTTCCTTTGCACGTGCCTTTCACGTCAGGAGGACGTCCCAAGGTGCTGGAGGTTCCCAAGTTTCCGAATGAGACTTTACATAGAGGGCCTGAGAATGTGGAACTCACCCCTGGAAGCGGTGGTCGAAGTAAATAGCATCGACATATTTAAGAGGAAACAAATCAAAAATGAGGGAGAAGGGAATAGAGCAGTTTAGAATAGGTGGAGGCTTGTGTGAAGTTTAAACTTCACAAGGCTTGAAGAAGAAGGAAATGTGCTTCATAATTAGCTGTTTGGTATTCGGTTCACTAATATGCTTAGAATCCTCAATCTCTTCTCAGTACGTAATAGGTAAGTTTAAGGACGAGGTGTTGAGTGGAAATCCTGGTTATATATAAAAGTTGTGTAACACTGGTGCCTACTTCTTCATGAGCTGAAGAGCAGTAATACTGGCTCTGCTCCGCATTTCACAATATGTAAAACTGTACAGGCTTTTCCTATCTGCTGAGGAGTTTGGATGAGCATCACTGCCACTTTAGGTATTCTGCAATTGCAATGACTATTATGTCGCGGGAATGTTATATTCCTTATAGCTGAGCTGGTTAAGGGCCAATCTGATATAGGTGTTTGAAATAATAAAGGGAATTGAAAGACTGGATAGATAGCGGGCAAGTCTTCCTTCTGGGAGAGGGATCCGAAACAAGACAATCTCAAATTTAATATTGGGATGGTTATGTATTCAATAAACATTTCTTCATGCAGAGAGCTGTAACAATGTGACATTCAATGCCCCTTAAGAGGGTTGTAAAGACTGTAAAGACAAAAATTGGGATGTTTGAAGAGTTCGATAGGCAGATTGTGGAAGTAAGAGTGTTAAGGGATATGGGAAAAGGCAGGGAAATAGCAATAATAGATCTGGGTGATCTAATCAACTGTCAGACATGTTTAATGAGTTTGAATGGCCTCCTCCTGTTGTTATGTTCCTAATGAGACTTTACTTAGAAGATCCGAGAATGTGGAATTCACTGCTGGAATCTGTGGTTGAAGCAAATAGCATCAATGTATTCAAGACGAAACTTGATGCGTATATGAAAGAGAAGGGAATGGAGCGGATTACAAGGAGTGGAGGCTCGTGGGAAGTTTAAACGCTGGCACAAACTAGTTAGACCCAAATGCCTGTTTCTCTGCTGTAACTAATACAATTCTATAAGAGCTGCATAGTAGGGATGACCTCTGTAAGGTTGTATACAAGGTTTTGTCAATGGGTGAATAATGCTACCATTTTAATTAGTGCAGTTAATCTCGCTGAGTAGGCGGAGAACCAGAGTGTGTGTTGTTAATCTCGACAAGCAATTATTCAGCTGTAATTTATAACAGGCACACGTAGCATTGTAGACACGAAAACTGATGAACAAACCTTGCCTGTTCGCCTAACTGAATGGTAAATCTGAATTGAATTTGTTGACTTGCGTTTTGTTTTCAATCTCGATTTAAAATCACAGGTGCGAGAATTGGTCATCGGTCGCTATTGAGATACTACAAGCAGAGTTTTGGTGTGTCTAAGGCCGTGGCTGTTGCCGGCACTAATCGTGCGTTGGGTAGGATGTTGCAGCAGTACAAGGCACTAGGATGGACCGGTGAACTTGGTACGTATTTCACTGTCTCTCACACACACACACACACTCTGCCCTTCCCCCTCTATTTCTCTCTCTCTCTCTATATATATATATATATATATATATATGTGCGTCTCTGTCTCAACACTATAAAAGCATATATTAAAACAGGCTGTGTGCATATGTAATGTTGCATGCATGTCCTTGAGGTTATTGAGAGGTTCAAATTGTGTCCATAGCAACTTCATATTTGTGCATATCAGGACATTTTTCTGCTGGTATCGCAGCCCTGTGACCAACTTCTGCATCAGAGCTCTAAAGGAATAAATGGGTATGTGGATAATTGCCGTGTGGATAATTAAAGTGCAGGTACCCACGGCTTTGCTCTGTAACTTGAACCCTTTGATTAAATATTTTTCGTAGCATTTGAGAACCTTTCTTCTCTTTCCCTCCGACTTCCAGTTTTATTTAATTAAATATTAACACAGCTTTGACTTTGGGTAGGGGATGTTCAAAAGTTCTCTTTGAAGTAAATCATGAGAAGCCAAGGCTGTGGGAGATCTTGTGTTTATTGTTCCTTGGTTGAAGACTGTCACAGTTTAATTGATGTATCTGCCTGGAGTTACAAGTTCACATCTAACCGTAAGAGTACATCTGAGTACATTTTCCTATTTCCATTTCACTCCTGTCTTGGTCTGATTGTTTTTAATTGGCTCTCTGCGAAAGCAGTGACTTTGTTGATCACACTTGGGGTCTGATATCTGCCAGTCGCTTGACTCACATGCCTGAGGTCTGGATGACCTTGGAAGGTTCTTAGATACCAGAGATAGCGGAAGGTGAGGGGGTGAGATCCTCATTGGTTAAATTGTTCCTTGTTCACAATTCCCCTTATTCCCTGAAGGCGGGAATCACCAGAAGTGTGTGCTGTAAGAAAAGGCAGTCACATAATTGATCAGAGTAACAAAGATTATTCCACATTCTGTCCTGATCTTTTATACCGCTAATCCAGTATGAGTAAGAATATAGCATTTTACTATAGAACCCTGATATAACATCGCTTCATTAAAACACAGGTTTGATTATAAGTGTGCTGTGGTTCCCAATATCTGCTTAGCCCAAAAAATCAAAGTGTTGGACGGGTACTGGTTGCATCAGCACTTCAGACACCACCACATCACTTCCAAGAGTGAGAACGACAACAATAACAACGATTACATTTGTATAGCGCCTTTCACGTTGGGAGGACGTCCCAAGGCGCTGAAACGACCTTGTGCCTTGGAAGTGATCCTATTTTATCATGCTGGGCCCTGGCTGGCATTTTGAAGCACCCCCCCCCCCCCCACCTCGCTCTGATTCGTGGTCAGGTATGGATGTACAGATAACCAGTACTTTCCAATACAATTCTTCAGTTGTGATTTGTGTTGGGGTATTTGACTATGGGGAAATATTACAAAGCCAGGCCCTGTTCACTCCATTCCTAATATCCACGTGTTCACTTTCCAGTACTTGCTTGTCTAGCAATTGGAAGCAGACATTTTTCCTTTAGCTAGACCAGGGGCACTGAGGCCAATTGTTGCTCCCTGGCTGAAATCAGATGATTTAGCATAGACCAGGGGATTGAATCAGAGACCTCCTGCTCTATCAGGGGAAATTCTGTTCCCATTACTTTCAAGCAGAATTCTGGAATTTTATCATGGTGTCAATTTTCTTCTGAAAGGGCAACTGGATGATAATTTGCTTTGTTCTCATCATTGAAGTGTAATCAACACTTTTTTGAGGCTTGATAATAACTTGCTTTATAGCGCAGATGGTGAATAAAATCCTGTTGTAATGTTGTGAATAATTCAACGTTTCTTCGTTTCCAGCAAAAGCAGCGTCTCAGAGGAAAGAGCGTGACATGCAGTATGTGCAGAGAATGAAATCCAAGTGGGTGCTGAAAATGGGAATGTCTAACAATTCCATCAAGCAGAAGCACTTTAGGGCTCAAGTCCAATTTTAAAACAGCTGAGGTTTCGGGGAGGGAAGCAGCTACTGAAGATAACAGAAACAGATACAAGTCTGCTCGTTGCTGTTTCTGCACGGTTACTGAGTTTAACTTCCAGGATTGTAAAGCATTGCAATTAAATTGTTTGGAACATTCCCTTGATATACTGGCAGTGCACCACTCTGCTTACACACTGAGCCAATGATGTTTCATTTCGCCTTTTATTTAGGTAAAGTGAAGGTTATTAATCTTTGAGTGCCGACAGCCATATGGTCACTTCCCTCTGAGTGTTCATTCCAGTTCCAGTAATAAGGCTACTTGATTAATCTTCTTTATAAAAAGAAGTAAATATGAATTACACCAATTAAAGAAAAAATAAAATGTTAATTGAAAAGTTGTGCGTTTTGGGTTTATTAAACTCCAGCAGTGTTGAACCACACCCCCACCCACCCACAGGATTCCAGGTGGAGTCCTGTGGCTCAGTGGTTAGAGCACTTGCAAAGGAAAGACCTGGGTTTGATCAGGGCGAAACCTTGGGCAAGTTTCCTTACTCCGCACGCCTGATAATGATCCCTCAAGAAAAAAAAACAATAAATTGGTCACTTCAATCAACAACTGTTCATTGGACACTGCTGTGTGCAATTGGCTACCATGTTTTGCCCACAAAATCTACAGTCAATTCACTTTACAGTATGTTCTGTAAAGTGCTTTGAGACGGCTAGAAGATGTGAAAAGTGCTTCATCATTATTATAACCCACACTGAGCTCACCAAGCTCCTGTCAACCTGTCCCTAATACTCTGCAATCTCCATTACTCATTAAGCCACGGGGGCTAAATAAATGAAAGTTGTTGAAATCAGTAAGCAGTGTATATTTTTCTAAGCATTGCATTTTCAGACACATGGAAATTTTCATGTGTAGATTACATACATGCATATAACCATTTGTTTGGTTTGGATTTATGCATGTCAGACATCTTATTGACCAAAAAAAATCATTTTCCCTTCTAATTTCTATCCTTTTTATTTGTTTTTTTACCTATTCTCTTCACTTTTTCACTCACATTTTTTCCAACTCCTACCATCTATTTTGTTGATTTAAGATGATTTTTTTTTGTCATTCTCATTCTCTCAAAAGAAAGGAGTTTCTCTTAGAGTCCTGCCCAATAATCCCCCAAATAAAATTGCTCATTCACTCCATGGTTGTTTGTGGGACATTGCTGTGGGCAAAGTCACTGCCACATTCACCCACAAAATAGTCAATTTACTTTACAGCATATCCTGTGAAGCGCTTTGAGGCATCTAAATGATGTGATGAAGTGCTATACCAAATGCAAGGATGATTATTATTAGCTCAAAGGAGACTTGGAAAGCTAATTTGCAGCCAAAGGAAAAGCTGAAAGATTGATGGGGTTCCTTCACAGAAGCAACCCTGTCGAGCTCCAACCCGAAGTTGCTACCATGAACATTTGTGGAACTCAGAATAAGATTGTACCCGGTGCTCGAAGGTTATTGTGTAATGTAGGAAATGTAGATCATCTTCGCAGGGCAATTGGAATTGTTTTCTTTTGAATGCAAGATTGGACTGTCAAGCAATTTCTTTCTATCTCTCAGCCCCTACCACCCCCAGCACATTGAAGGAATGATCTACAATAGATTTGAGTGAAGACAGTAGAATTGGCTTGTGCTGAAAATATAAGCAACACATTAAAGCACGTGTGTTCACTGTGGAGTCCTGTAGCTCAGTGGTTAGAGCACTCGCTTTGCAAGCGAGAGACCTGAGTTCAATTCCAGGCAGGACGAAACCTTGGGCAAGTTTCCTTACTCCACACGCCTAATAATAATCCCTCCAAAAAAAAAACCAAAACAATAATAAATTGGTCATTTTCAATCTACGACTGTTTGTGGGACATTGCTGTGCGCAATTGGCTGCCGCGTTCGCCCACAAATATTCAATTCAGTCAATTCACTTTACAGTGTGTTCTGTGAAGCGCTTTGGGACGTCCTCCTGATGTGAAAAGCGCTATATCAAATGCAAAGGAATATTATTATTATTAAGTTTTTATCTATGGGAAGGCTCACACAGGTTCAGCAGCCCTCCAGTACCTTAACCCACTGACAATTGCAGTTACAGTGTGAAAAAAGTGGGATTCTCTGACCTCCTTCAACACGAGCAAGCAGTGCAAATTCGTAGCAGATTTTTTAAAAAAAAATCTTACTTTCACCAAATCTATCCATGTTGTTTTCTGTCAATTTCCCTTGATTTCCTCCTTTTTTTTTACCATGAAAAATGGACCCTGACAAAAATGGAAGCTCGGGGTTTTATTTTATGGATAAAATTATGTTGTAATGGTCTTTTTCTAAGTATTGGTGAAGTTACCTGCAGAAGTTAACGTCACAAGCAAACGTTCTGGAACTAGACCACTCCAAATAGTTGCACAGGTCAGCAATGCATTGAAATTTCTTTCTGGAACTCATGCTACTATATCACTATTATGTTAATTCTAAGATGGAGCATAGCTTATTAATTCTTATCCAGAGTAAGTCTGAGAAACAAATGTGTTTTCCATAGTTCCTTGGAGAACTATTAATTTAGATTCAATAGAAGAGAAAGTCCCAGATGTCTTGTAAGTGCTGGAGCAATAGAATGGAGTAACCATTCTATACATGCTGCTACTGTATAGTATTCAAGCTTTGTGCAATACAGTCTTGATAATGTTACAGATGATTGTCATTTTGTAAGGCCAATATGCAATAATTGTATGTGTGGCTCTCCTTGTGCTCCGAAAGGTCACCTGAATAACCATCCTTGCATCCTTTCAGATCTGGAGCTCACCTCAGAGCTCTGCACAGGATTCACTGTAAAGTCTAGTGCCTGCATCTTCCAGGAATAAGCCCAAGGCCCATCTACTGGTATTGCAAACACAAACACGTGTTGCAAATTATGAGCATCAGAATACAAAGCAGCCATCGAATAGCATATAAATAGTGCAACAGAGAGGCACTAAAAAGGCAAAATTATCCATAACCTGTACCAATAATTTTGTAGTTGCTGCAGTCTGGTGTTATGCTTAGCTGGATCATTCCTTTGTACAATTTATACACAAATGGTTACATGCAGTGTTTCACTAGCCTGCATAAACATTTGAACAGTAAAATGTACTCACGTGGAATATCAGTCCTGACAGGTCCCACTATCTTTATTGTATTTAGTGGAGTCCTGTAGCTCAGTGGTTAGAGAACTCGCTTTGCAAGCGAGACATCTGGGTTCAATTCCAGGCAGGGCGAAACCTGGGCCAATTTCCTTACTCTGCACGCCTAATAATAGTCCCTCCAAAACAAAACAATAATAAATTGGTCATTTTCAATCCACAACGGTTTGAGGGACACTGCTGTGCACAATTGGCTGCCACATTTCACCCACAAATATACGGTCAATTCACTTTACAGTCTATTCTGTGAAGCGCTTTGAGATGGATGGAAGACGTGAAAAGCCCTATATCAAATGCAAGGATTATTATTATTATTGTATTAAAGAGCCTCACATGGAAACATTTTAACCTTTATGGTACTCACAAAATATACAGTCAATTTTTCCCCCTTGTTTTCTTTCTTTTTCTCCCTCTGCAATTTTTGAACTTTCCTTTTCCTTCCTTGAAAATTTAAATCTAGTAATGCAGTGTGCCTTGGCCAATACTCCAATTTCATGTATGGACTCCAACAAGGAGTCCTCCCAACAGGAGTCCTCCCACTGAGTCCTCCCAACAGGAGTCCTCCTAAAAGGATATATCTGCAAATATGTGAATAAGGGATGCTAACGAGTTTAATAACACATTGTCTTAATCTTAAGGGATAAAGATGCCTAACAAGCGAAGATTAAGCCTTTCAAGGACAAATAAAAGTGCCAGCCGAAAGAGAGAAAGCCGATTAAATGAAACTGGTTGCAAGCATAGCTGCAATGGGTACAACTAATTTATTATAATTGGCTACACTTATTTTTATGTCTAAGACTTTGCTGGCACACAGTAACTTACGTTTTCATCCAAAGAAACATTCTCTTCAGTCCCAATTAAACTCTTTTTGTAAAGTGCTTTGAGACATTTTCTTTTACAATGTACAGCACTTTGTAAATGTAAGTTCTTGTGTGTGTGTGTATATATATATATATATATAATTGGCCTACACACAGACAGTTATCTCAGGATGAACATCAAATAAGTGGACTCCTACATTTTTTTTCGTATATGTGTATTATTAGAAATAGCTTCAGCAATACTTAATGTTTTAGGCATCAAACATCAAAATATAAGTGAGTTTTATTATTTATGTGCAAAAATGGCTGTTGCGTTTCGCCCATAAAATATACTGTCAATTTACTTTACAGTATATTCTGTGAAGCGCTTTGAGACATCTCGAAGACGTAATAAGGCGCTATATCAAATGCAAGGATTCTTCTTATTATAAAGTTATACATCCCTCCACTGTCTCCATGACCTTCAACCTTCTGACTTGACTGCTCCCTTCACTCACACTGGCCTGCTTCAGGTCCACCACCCTGTCCTCATCGCAATCAGCAGATGGGCTGCCAGCCATTTTGCCCCTGCTCTCTGCAACTGCATCCCTCCGACTCCCTCCCTCGTTCACCTCATCTCAAGATCTACTTCTTTGACTACACTTTCATTCTTTGACCATAACCCCTTGAGCTCCCACCCTAGCTCGGATGCCCAGCCAGCTGCCTTAAGCACTTTGAGATATCCTCCTAACGTGAAAGGCACTATATAGATGTAAATTGTATTGTACATACACTTGTTTTCACTGTTGCTTCTCCCGAAAACATATTTCTTCAACTTTTCCTGAAAACCTGAGCAACACATTAAGATCTAAATTCAAATTTTATTAATGCTAAATAACTAGCCATTTCCATCTGGCATAACAACCAGCTCAGGAAACACACAAACAATTTATGTTGATCAGAAGCAACACATTTTCATCTTCATATCAATCTCCAGAGTTGATACAGAATCATTGTGATTCATAGCACATGTTGCTCTATTTCTGCTAATGAAATGAGCTGTCCCCTCAAAGAGCTTTTAGGAGTAAAACAATATTTCTTACTGACTCTGAAAGTAAAAACAACCTGTACACTGGAAATTTGATTTGAAATGACATTGATGGTCTTATTGTTAGATTTGAATTGCAGTTTGTTTTCTTTTGCATATAAAAACATCATTTATCTTTTGTACATCTTAATGGGAATCTGACATTTCCAATCTACAGAAACATAATAAGCTTATTGTTGAATTTAATGTCAATATTTAATACCGATGAATTCTTCCAGGACTAGGAAACTTTAGGAATGTGTTCTTTGAATATTAAGTATGCAAAATAGTA